AATTTGATGATTTTATGCAAATTCGATTAAAAAACACTTAATTAACATTATAAATCATTTTGGAGATAAGTGTGATAATTATAATTCTAATTTAAACATTAATTCTATTTTTTATCTACAGGTAAATTATGAAAATAATTAAATCTGCTAAAAATATTATATACTTATTTCCTCCATAAATTTTAGCAAACAATACTTTATAAGTATTAATCTAAGGTAGCAATTAATGATATAGTATTATTGTTATGTACTATTTATTTTTATTAAATTCTAAAATTATATATAAAATGTTTTTTTCCATATCCCAATCATAAATTTTTTTGTAATTTCATATTCAAAAAGATATTTACTTTTAGAATTATTATATAAAAATCTTTCAGTTTATATTATTCTAAAATTTAGTAATTTTGAGAATTAAGGAATGAATATCTATTAAGTACAAATACTGATGGTGTTATCAAATAAATTTATAATTTAACTATTATAAGTAATCGTTAAATCAAGAAGTAAATACCATAAAAGTTTCACATTCTAAAAGGCTAAAAATTTTGGCTTAAACTCACTAAATTTATACAAATTTATGGATTAATTACTTATGAATATTATAATTATTTCTTTCTTTAATTAATAATTATATCTCATAATCAAAAAGGACTTTAATAATCAGGCAACCAATTTTTGAAAATCACAATTTTATCCATCATAAAAATAGTTAGATAAAGCCTTTACTAACTTTGGTTCAAATATCCATGTTAATGATTTTTGGAGTTTCTGATAGGAAGACTAAAGAATTTCGCCAAAGCTGAATATAAATATTTGATTAAATTTATTAATGAAAAGAGATTAATTATATTAAAATTATCAATGAAGTTGAAACTGACTATTATCAAACCTCATACTTTAATTGACTTAAAAAATCAAAATAACTAATTTATAAAATTCTAGAAAACCAAGTGATTTTATTTCAAAATATCTTAATGGGCTTTACTTTTGTAATCGTTTCTCTTCAGTTCCAAAAATAAGGTCTTCATATTTTTTCCATTTGTTATAGCTAATTATATTTATTACAAAATATTCATATTCTAATTAGCGATGTAAGAATTAACTAGTGATAATAGTTAATAAAACTCTCATTAAATTCAAAAGCAGTAAATTTCTTTTTTTCAAAGCCATTACAATACTATCAGTATCATCAATATTTAATTATAAGTATTAGCCATCCAAAATAATGTTTCTTCCATAAGATTCAATTTTGCTATCAATCGAATAAGTTTAGAAAAACTATTTGCTTACAAGTATGTCTATTATATAATCAACTTTTTTATTTTTTAATCATCTTTATTTTTGAATTTCTGTTAAGAGGTTTCAATTTTTCAGATTATATTTGATTTAGTTTAATTTATTTATTTCACAAGATTAATTTAATTTTTGAAATTTTGGCTCTCTTTTTCAAGTATTGATAATTCGTCCTCAAAATATCTTTAATTTTCATAGATCCTAGACATTTCTTTGTCATTATTGGCAAGACTTAAACAAAAATTTCAAGCATGAATGGATTAGTCAAAAGATGTTAAATATTTACTATTTTAATAGCCTTTTTGAATTTATTAAAACTTCATAATGATTAAAGATTTTTTCTTAATCCTGTAATTAATTCTTCTGTTAAAAATTTAAATACTTATAACTATTTCAATTTCCCAATTAAAATCTCTTCCTGTTCATCTTGGAAAATTGAATCTGATTCACTGATTTTTGAAATTTTATAAGGATTGTCTAATTTGATTAACAATTGAATTCGATATCTTTATAAATTCTGCTATATTGAAGGTAAGACCAGAAATAGATAAAACAAATTCATAAATTTTTCTAATAGTCTTATTTATCTAAAATTAGAGTCTGCAGGAAATATGGTATTTTATGTTTATTATTTGGGAAAAATTAAAATTCAATCAAAATAGAAATTATGAATGGAAAAAGATGATCAAGTACTTGGATATAATTTTGGGTTTAATTAAGAAATAAGAAAATTCATTAGATGTAAATCAAAGAATTTACATCTATAGCAAATTCAAAAAAGAGATTTAGGCAAATTTCCTAATTATGAAAGTCTTGTTATTGATACCTAGTAAATTTGTTCATCATTAGTTTTAGATGTGACTATCAGAGATTTATCACAAATCAGTTATAATTAAAAAGGATAATTGCTTTTATAAAATAATTACAAAGCAACCCAAAATGCAGATAATTGGTTAGATTAATATATAAGTAATTCTTAACTAAATAATAACTATAAGAAATTAATTAGAAGCTATATTTTACTTAGTGCCAAGGGCATAAATCTATTTAAGAATTTTTTGTTGCAAAATACATTTACAATTATATTCTTCCTTATCAAACTTATCCTTAATCCTAAAATTAAATGACCGTTTAAGAATTAGATAATTTAGATCGCTTAATGAATTCTGTATTTAATTCTCATGCCTTCAATATTAATACTGATGCTTTTAGAAGAGCCTGCTCTTTGATAACAAATATTTTACTAAATACAGAAAATATAAATTAAAAGCTGATTGAGATAGTGTAATAATCTATAAAAATAGAATTTAGCCCAGCAACTTTAAATAGTATAAATTTATTAACTTTAATGAATGTTTATCTAGGATCTCTAAATTTTAATTCAATTTAATTAGCTGGTACAAATATAACTGGATTAAGTTTCTTTGAAAGAAATTTAAGTAAATCTAAATTGAAGAATGTTGCAATAAACTCCTGCATTTTCAATTCTGCTAATTTAATTGACATCTTATGAGTTGATATTATAAGCAAAGAATATCCTTTATTAATAGGCCAGGTAAATTATTGTCAATATTTAGCCTCAGGAGGGTATAGTGGAATCGTTAAATTATGGGATCTGTTAAATTATAAATTCTTATAAGACTTAAGTCCTTGTCATTATTGATTGATAGAACAGCTCTAGTTTTCTTCTGATTCATCTTTTTTTACGACCACAAAGGCCATTTAAATTATGGAATATCTCTAATTTCTCTCAGAAACAAGTTCATGTTCCTCTTTAATAAGCAAAAATTGTAAAAAATTTCATTGTCATAAGATTGCAGTAGATTATATATTCAAACTTGAAATTAATTTTCTATTTTGCAAATCGATCAATATTTCGAGAAACAAAAAATATAGAGATTATTTGGAAATATCACTCATATATAACACATTATGCAAAGTCTCCAATTAATTTAAACACAGTAATTTCTTCTTCTGATAATAAATTCATATTAGTTTAAAATCCTAATTAAAAATAAAAATCATTTGGTAAATATGAGAAAGAAATTGAAGTAATTACGTTCAGCAAGGATGGCAAAAACTTGCAATTGTTTATGATAGTACCATCACAATTTGGGACATATAGACACAGATGCTCTCAAATTAAATTATAATATTAAAAGTGTAAATTTTTCTCCTGATAGTTAGAAGCTAAGTTTAAGAGGATTGAGGACAATAAGCATAAACGAAATTGAACCAATTAAAGTCACAAAAAAATAGCATCAAAATGTTGTTTTGAGATTTTTTTAAGTCCAACTTTCAATTTGATTATTGCATTTGTTAAGTATAAGTTTGATCGAATATCAATTAGATAATATTTACTTTACTTTTTGTGGATATTATGAATACATTAATTCTTTTCAATTTAATCAAATGGTAACACATTTATAGGGATAATAAATATTGAAGATATTCTTAAATTAATCAAATTTCTTATTTGGTGAATTTAATTTTACATCATATTTTACCAAAATATTTTTTTCTTTCTCTTGATAATTTCTTGGTTTCTTAAATTAAGGCAATTTACTAAAAGTAGTAAAAAATAATTCATCAATGCTTTATGAATTTAGTAGTGTATCAGGTGCAGCTTTTTATCCAAAGTTAGATTAAATTGTAATATATTACAATATGTAACTTCATTTAATAGAATATTAGGAGAAGGGATTCAAATTAAAGAAGTCGTTAGATTTTTATAACGACTTCTTAAATCCAAAAAAAATTGTGTGTTGAAATTACAAATCTCTATCATGGTCAAATATTTCTATTTGTAATTAATAACTTAATTAGATGGTATGCACTAGAAGAGAATAAATCCTTAAAAGGTTTAAGCTTCATTCAAATTTATGAATAATTTTAGAATATCTTTTTATTTTAAAATTATTATTTCGCATGCCATATTAAAAAGTAAAAAATAATTAGAGAGTTTACAATTAAGCAAACTATGAGATAATTAAAAATCAATTAATTTAATTTTTCTAAGATTAATTGTTTTCGTTTTTCTATGAGTTCAGAAGAACATATATATTATTGTGGATTACCCGAAAAATTATAGTTATTTGATTTTTCAAGTTTGACTATTTGCCCTATTTCATTTAGTTCTGATGTTGGACCTATAGAATAAATCTAAGCAATTGATGATAACAAATTTATCATGTTTAGTTTAAAGAAAAAATTTTTATTTGCAATATAATTCTAGTTTAATAAAAAAGAGAGGGAAATTTATTTTTTTTAAGTGGAATCACCATAATAAGCCAAAAAAATGAAAGCATAACTTATTTGGCAACATCTATAAAAACAATCAAATATTTAATTATGGAACACATAAAACAAAAAATGATCAAGGACATCGATAAAAGATTAATTGTCTGAATGCTTCTTATGTTGGAGTTATTTTTGGAACTGCAAGTGATGATACAACTATACGACTGTGGAATATTGATTTTAATGAATCAAGGGATCCAATGCTATTGCTTTTTCCAAAAGATGGTTTGCTGGTTACTTCAGGTAGCTCTGATAAAACTATAATAATATGGGAAATGTATGAGAAACAATGATTGCTTAAATAGAAAGTGATGAAGGATAAATAAAATGCTTAGAGTTCACTTATTGCTCTAAACTTTTATACTCTGCTTCAAATTTGCAAATAATAATGAACTAATATATTTAATTTATTTG